CCCACCAGGTGCCAGTACAGGGCGCCGGGCAGCATGGCGGGGCGAGGCGCGCAGCGGCTCTGCCCGCCCGCAGCGCCGCTCCGGCCCCACTCATTATGTCGGCCGGGACGCGGCCAACAAAGCGGCCGGGCCCGGCAGCCCCCGGCGGGGCGGGCGGCCGCCCCCCGCCTCCTTCCTTCCTTCCCTCCCGCCTTCCCCCCCGTCGCTGCGGGCAGGTGCGGCCCCTGGCCGCGGGAGGCCGCGCGCCCCGCTGCTCCCATGAGGTAATGAGGGGCAGCCATGAGCTCACGGGCCGCGCTCCCGCCGCGCCGCCGCTCCCGGCCCGGCGGCGCCCGCCGCCAGCGCCGCTGCCCGCAGCGACACGGGCACTGCCCGCAGCGACGCGGGCCCCGCGCTTGTGGATGGTCCCGCCGGAGAACGGGTTTGATCCCCCCCCGGGCGGCCCAGGCTTGCTCGGGGGTCTTGGGGTGGCGCCTAGGGGTTATCCCGTTGCTGCTTCCCTGCGAAGCCACACCGTGACAAACTCAGACACACAAACGAATATTTCCCTGTAAGCTCACGGTATTAATGTATCCTACCTGTGAGCTTTTGAGGTGCCTGTGTCAGAGGGACGGGTAGAATTCGGCTTAATGGAGCCTGGAGTGTCTTTCCAGGTGGTACATGCCGCTGTAATAGAAAGAAGAAGTATATTGTTATTAAGTTTTTATGTTCTTTTTAAAGGAAAGAAGCGAGTCTTCCCAGGAGAGCACCTGCTTTTGGGCATTGAAAGTCACTGATTACCCCTCATAAATTTATTCACACTTCTCATAAATTTATTCACACTTAAGGATTTATTCTCTTTCACTGGCCAAATTCTCACAAACGTCCCAAGGGACTGAGACACCAAAACCCATACACTCAACACTTGGGAAAGTGCAGTCGGTCCATCCAGCTGTGCTGCCAGAATAAAAGGTATTGACCACCGAAAGAGCCTGGTCAAAGACAGTAGCTTTCGAGAGAGGCTTGGAGCTTGGTTTCCTTCAAAGCCATTTTGCTCCCCAAGGTGCCTGTTGTTGTGCTGTGCCAGTCATAAATGTGCCATGTGGGTGCCAATTGTAGCTGATCAGCAAGTTACAGGTCTCTGAAATACAGGGCTGCCACGTGCAGCGTTTGGCAGCCGCCCTGCTCTGCTCTGCTGAGGAGCCGTCCACGACACCGGGGCAGCAATTCCGAGCAGGTTCCCCAGGATCGGGTTCCCGGCTACGGCTCGCTCACGATGGTGACAGTTCCAGAGTTTTCTTTTACTTTCTTTACGTTTACCTTAAACAGAACGAAAGTTCCCCTTAACTGCATGGATAGCTGCCTTGTTTAGGGGAATGGAGAACATGAAGATACAGATTTCTCAGATTTCATTGTTTAAAAATGGGCTGCATGAACATGAATGAAATGCCCAGCACTCCCTGTTCTGCCTCCCAACAGTGGGTCCACGGTGCCATCTCACTGTCAGGACAGTGTATTTAACATATCAAGTGCAGCCAAATAAACTCTCCCTTTTCTGTATCAGCTCTGCCCTTTCTCTGCTTTTCCATCCTTGAATTGTGGCGTTCCTCTCTTGCAGCTCCTGCCTTGTAGTAATTCCCATTGAGATGGATCCTGCCTTTTGCTCACGCGTTTCCTTACCTTTCCATTGCCTAACAGGAGACCTGCATATTCACTGTCAGAGGCTGCTTCTGCCTTTCTTTCCAATAGCTTCTTGCTTACTTGTTGACATATTTGACTTACTTCTTCTAAAACTGCCAAGTCTATGGCTAAGCCATAAGCCGCAGCAGTCAAACCACAAAACTCAAACAACCAATTCTTTACTCTTTTATCATTTCCTTATTTCACACTCTACCAGATTCAATCAACGTCTGCATTATTTGCCAAATTAATATACATATGATTTTCCTGCAGTTTTCCATTTTAACAACCAGAGTCTCTCTGACTGAGAAAACTTAAAGGCTTAAACAGCTAAGGTTTAGGTCCACGCTCCAGTAAATTGCTCTAAGATATCCAATCTGAGGTAGCAGGGATGCTCTTATTTTACTGCATGGGCTGTGCTGAAAGCATAGGTGCAAGATGCAGTCAAGGACCTTGTGCCAGCAGCAGTTAAAAAGCCTTGTATTCCAAAAGAAACTTGTGAAAGTCCTACCTAGCCCAAGGCAACTTCACACTTTGCTCTTTCTGGCTATAAGAATTTGCCAAAGGACACCTCCAATCAGCATGGATAAAGTGATTAAAAAAGGAGTGAAGTCCTTGCAATGCCCCTTACATTCTGCTGGACTCAGGTACACAGGCCTCTGAGCACAGCTGCCCTTTCTACCTGGGAGGCCTTGGCGTGGCGGTGCTTGCCCAGCCCAGGACACCCCAGCACATCTCCTGCCGTGTTAATCAGCGCAGCCAGGAACAGGGATCTTGAGATGGAAACACGCATTCACAGGAGACAGGGATGAGGTCATTGCATACAGATCTTTTCTAATGCTCTCTCTGCTTAGGCATGCTAAAGGCAGCTCTGCCCAGTCGTAATTTTAGTGGATTCTGCACATGATGTTTTAGTGACATCTATTTTAATTCATTATTCCCAACTTTGATTTTCCAGAAAAAAAAAAAAAAAAATGCCATGCCCTCTCTCCTTTTCTGCTTGTGGGCTTTGGAGTGACATATTCCAGTCAAAGGAATGATGCATGAATCCTACCAGAGCACATGCACGCTTCCCGGGAGTGACCCCGAAGTTCTTCATCACCAAATTCTCTGGCCTTAGTCATTATAACACACTTCTAACAACAGAACCATCTGCCATTTTGCAAGTGAGACTCATTTTCCGCACTCTTGGAGAGGTGCCTTGTACAGTTCTGCGTGTCCTAAGCATGATAGACAGCAGTCTGTGGATGCAGAGTCTTCAAAATAATGCTAAGCTTGCCTAGCAAAGACTAGAGGTGTCATCACTGCACAGCCACTGCAGGCTTTCAGCCAGATCTTGCTCTAATTTTCTGTTCTCCGCTCAAGAACGACATGTGTGTGCTAATTGTGAGAATCACACGTGGGGAGGCTGGAGAAAGCTGCTCCCTGTCAGGTTATGCCAGCGTGGGTGCCGACGACCCTGCTGAGGTCCACGCTGCCGGCACCACAGAGCAACAGCGACAGCAGCAGCCTGGGAGCAAAGTAGGAGCAAAGCTGGTGTCCGCAGATGGAATTAAAGTTCTGGTCGTGGGCTGATTTCCTAGTTTTTGTACCATAACTCAACCTATCTTAGGCTAAAATTGCTGCTTCAGCTACCATGAAGCTTAGGGCACAGCTCAGATGGAAAGTACAGCACCTGTGTGTCATAAAGCACTCACCTGGTGCAAGCTGACTTCTTAAGCTGAGTTTACACCCCCAAAAATGTTGCTTTAACTTTCACTGGGCAGACTTTGCTGGGCGAGTGTCACCTGCCTGCACCCTCTATGTCTGGATGTCCCACATGCAGCCCAGGCTTTGCCTCCCTGCTTTCCTCTCACTGCTGTGAAGCCATCTCCTGACAGTCCTGCCTTCCAGATGTCTTCTGCTGAATAGAAGGTAGCAGTAGAATGGTCAGCACTAATGCTGCTCACAATGACAGTCTTAAAACTTTAGGTCAACATATGAGTTCACTATTCACAATATTTCACTGCTGTCTGCAAGACACTTTAGTTGGGTTGCTTCCTTCCTGGGCTATTTACTGTGTGTTCTCATGCTCTTTTGTGACAAGTGACAATTATTTAGCCACTCTGTTGACTTACAAGCGCTGGCTTATGCTGTGCAAGACAACATGTGCTGCCTGCTGCGTTTTCGTGGAGATCTGGGCTGTGCAGGAAGGCTGCAGCTCTCCTGCGAGCACCTCTGCGGGCTGCGGGTGCTCTAGGGCAGCACAGCAGTGCGCACAGCGGGGACAGAGCCTCCCCACAGCAAGCGACTCGCACACACGCACACTGGGACATACCCACGCGAGGAGATTAGAAGATCTGAGGCACCCTTTCATTGCCGTTTTAATTTCTCAATTTTTAATTTTCTGTTTAATCTCTGGCATTTCTCTTCCTACCACTCGGTGCTTTTTATATAGCCCTGACACTCCAAAAACGATATAAACTTTTCCAGGTTAGACAAGGCTTTGAGAAGTTTATATTTAAAGCATTTCACAGCACTTCAGGCTATGAAATACTTTAAGTGCTCACTGGGAGCTGCTGTGCTGAGGAACCACCATCATTCTCAGCAAATACAGACGGAATTAGCAACCCTCCAATCCAGATCCATAAAAAGCTTTTTCAATTTCAAATGACTGAAATCGTTTCCCTCAAGTCTGGCTTGGCATTAGATCTCAGCAAGCTGAAAAAATGTACGCAGAAGTGAAACGTTGGAAGTGTGAAAAGAAATTGGTTCCCTGTCAGTTATGATGCAGATGTGCAGAAAACCTTCCCGCAGCCCGCACCCGGCTTCCAGGCGGGAATCTGACACGTGTTGAAATCTCGCTATGGGAATGTGCCTGTGGTGCTTGGCACTGTGCTTCCCCCTGCAGAAACCACACAGGGACAGCTTCTGTCCCCAGGGATTTTATTTGGTGCCTTCATTTTCATACCTGATTTTTTTTCACTTATGTGACGTGATATAGGGAATAAACTGGAACAGGTGAACGACAGCTTATATGCTGCAGCTTGTAATGTGCATTTAATTAGATAGCAGCAGGATCTACTGCTCCAGACGTGAAGAATTCAGAAGGCAGAGCATGAAACATACAGCGAGCTCGCAGAAGATGGCTTATGCTCCTAAGAATAAATCATATTTCCATCTCTGATGACGTGTAATACAGAGTTTATCCAATAATCTGTACAGCATCACCTTGTATACTTTGGTATGATTTACTGTGCACACAGCAGTGCTGCTACTTCAGGAATCTGGTGATGGTAAAAACAGAGCGAGGTCCTTTCTGCAGGTCTCCTCCACACAGTTCGCACTGTGAACGTCTGTGCTCCTGGGAGATGATGGTGACGATGGTGTAAGAGACCCATGCAAGTGTCGCACATGGGGAATGGTTTGGGAAATCAGCTTAATCTGCTGAAACCCGGGTAGGGCTCAGCAGAAGCAAGTGACCAGAGCACTGTGATCCTCTCGCAGATCATTGTTTTCACCTCTCTCCTCTCCTCTCCTCTCCTCTCCTCTCCTCTCCTCTCCTCTCCTCTCCTCTCCTCTCCTCTCCTCTCCGCACCAAAAGAGTAAATTATTAAATATCCTTCATGCATTTTTTAGCTTGAAGCAGTTTAAAGATAGTGTGAGAATCACCATTTCCTTCAGCCTCCCTGTCATGCCAGGAGGTTTGTTCAGCCAGTTCTCTCCCATGGACCATCTTCTCTTTATTTGCTATCTTCTGCTGCTGCTACAGTTTCCAAAGCTTTAGCATCTTCTGGACAGAGGAGAGTTTTAATTAAGTTCTGTTGGTTTTATGCTTTTTTTTTTTTTTTTTCTATACTAAAATGACCCTACAATAGCACACACACAGATAATATTACTGAAAGAGAAATCAGATACCTTTGTATTATCAGGTAAAATTACCCCTTTATGCCTAAATAGAGGCTGCAAGTTGAGAATCCCTGAAGTCTACAGTATAACTGGAATGTGGAGGACTCCACCAACAAGCGCAAGGATTTTAATAGGCCAGTTCTCTATAAGCTTTTGAACTTGGCAAGAGGAGGTACTGTAGTTACAGCTTGTGTATTAAATAGATATGGGCTTCTTTGCTCCTCTGTTTCGCCTCGCTATGATAAGGCTGTTAGGAGCACTATGTTAGGAGCCATTTTTCTATGCCTGCTTTCTTTAAAATAGAATCACCGCAGTTACTTTTTTCAGGTTTCTTAAATATTGCAGATAATTGTTTTCCTGAAACAGCACAGAATCAAAATGAAGAAAGAAAAAAAAAAAGACTACATGTTGATCCATGCGCTCTTGCTGACTTCATTGATCTGATCTAAATTTAGCAGCCTGGTGCCGAAGAGCACGTGGAGGTGGGTCACTGCATCCAGGCGCATCTCACCTCCGATGTGAAGGGTCACACTTTGGTTTGGTCCCAAGTGGCTGGCCTGGATGACACCAGTCTCCTCAGCTGAAGTGTTAGGTACCATGAAATTTCAAGGAAAAGAAGAACACAAATAGTCTTTTTCAGTTGTGAAAACATTTTGCTGAATAACGAATAATGAAATTAATAAGCATCAGCTGTTGAGCATAGCCATTCATTTACCCAAAGCCAACGTCTTTTCTCTTTCTGCAATCCATTTTCAAAGGAAGACTGGTGCAATTGCCGGGTTGATATTAGTAATTGAGCACTTTTCACAAATCTTTTGTGCAAGTCTAGCCAAGGTGTCACCGAAGAAAACAGCAGGATTTCACCCTGATGCTCGCCAAAGGCTCAAGCCCACCCAGTCCAGCTTGCTGGAAGGTTACACCTCATGCTGGCCACGGCAGCTGAGCACCACTGAAGTCAAGATGACTATTCAGAAGAGTGGGGCTTTTCGAGAACTGGACCTTAACATTTTCCAAAGGGAATCTCACGATTTAGCTGTCGGGATTGCTTCGCTCTTTTTCTGCTCACAAAGGAACTTTCCATTTTCATGGTAACCAACAAGAGGCTGAAGCAAACCTCTCAAATACCCTGCTTCAAAGCAGTATTTGTGCACAATATTATGCACAAGCGCTTCACGAACAATATTTGGGAAGGGGAGAGGGAGAGGTGAGCGCCGCAGGGAGGGCTGTAGCCTGCAGGAGAACAGGCTGGGATTCCTGCTGAGCAGCTGGCAAAGCTTTTATTGCTGAGAGTGATGCAGGGAGCAGGCTGACCAAGCACCCTGACCCAGAGTAAAACAGCATTTCTGCAAAGATAACAGCGCTTAAATTTACTTACCCTAATTTATCCCATTGACTTAATGGGATAAATGGGTCAGACTACAGCAAGGAAAATTTGAGCCTGCTAAATATTCTCCAAAATGATATTTTGCATTTAAGTTGTGACTTTCCAGGAAAGTCTGCTCGTTGTGTTACAAACCTTTTCTGTTGTTGTGCTTTACGTTGCTTTTCCCAGCCATTGCTGTTTGACATGCATAGGGCACGATGCCATTTGCGTCACATCTTTCCAGCACATGATCTATAGGTCTGCAAAATTCTCCTGTTTTTCACGGGAAGAGCTGGTGATCCAATAAAATTTGGTGAAAGCAGGATTGGAAAAATCTTTCAAGACTAATTACTCTTTCATAGTTTATTTAAAATCATATAGATTTTCTTTTTTTCCTGGAAATTTGTTACATTTAGTGAACTAGAGCTAGCACAGAAAACCATTAGCATTTCTTAAACTTCCCCTGGAAATCTTTTATTTGCCAGGCTATAGAAGAAATACATTTTCTTGGTTGCTGCTGATAGGAATGACAGAAAAGGCACATTTCCTTCCGCAGCCTGACTCTTTACCAAGCACCTTCTCCTCAGTCGTTTCCAAAGTCTGGGATACCTGAATGTTTAAGCACTTATCTGTCCGAACACAGTCCCGTCTCATGTGAACGTCGGCCAGGCAGGAACTGGGCTGTCAGCTTCATCCCATCAAAAGGACTTTCAGTGCCATGAGCTGCAGGCAGGTTCCAGTTGTTAAGTCATTCTTGCCTGGGCTGAATTTAAAGTCAGGCTCCTGGAGCGAGCGGAAGTTGCTGGAGGCAACTGCTCAGCAAAAGGCATTAAAATCATATGTCTAATAATTATTCTTTTGACTCAATTGCCC